AGAGAGAGAGAGAGAGAGAGAGAGAGAGAGAGAGAGAGAGAGAGAGAGAGACTGCGACGGAGGGAGGCACCAGATGAACCATGAAAACTTAGCGGCCGAGACTGGAGGACTTCCAGTTTCGCGAAGCAGTGCTCTAGGTTAAGTCTGAAGAAAGCAATAAAAAAGTACTCCATTCTTTCGCGGTTTCCCGGCTGGGTCCCCCGCTCGAAGGCGCGCGTCGAAAATACAACGGGAGGCCGTCTTCTGTACACAAATTCTCATCGGATGGCTGCGGGGCGAGGATGGGCTACGGTAGTCGTGGGCGGGGATATGGCGGATTCGAATTCGTGGATGATGGCAGGGACAGGGAGTGCGAGGCGCTGTGGTGCACAAAACGGCCTCTGAGGGGGAGAAAGAAGGCGTTTTGGTGGGACTTCGCAGAGCGCTGTTAGGGTGACACACGTGTGCTCGTCTTACCTTCTGTGAGGACTCTCAAGGGGTTCGGGATATATACGTTCGGAAAACGTAATAGTTTTCCCGTAATTCTATAGTGTTATAATATCGACTTAATGCTACCAGAAGAACGAAAATCCATTCTTAACGGCCGGCGTCCAATCTTAACGATTTAACAGTTCTCCTTCCGTTAAGAACAATAACATCAAATGAGTTGTGACTAAAGATGGCGTATGAGTACACTTATTCCAAGATATATATTTATTGATATATTAATATTTTCTGGTAAGATTTTTGATTTTGATTCATTGATGATTCCGGGCGCGTCAACGGCTAAGGTCATTTGACTTATTTCGTCAAAAAAACAAAAAAGGTGAAAAGACGTATGCGTGCTAAGTGTAATCGCGTAGTGTTATGGATGCACGGAGGCATTTTGAAGTGTGCGTTCGCTTCTGACCAGTGCGCGGCGTTACGGCTCGCCATTGCAGTGAAGCAGCCTGGAACGTGAGCCCGTGGCGAATGTCAGCCAGTCGCCCGCATACAAGGAGGCATGGGCGACTAAGCAGACAGTCTGATTTTGTGAGTGAGCTCCGAAGTGTTCATAGTTAATATGGTAATTCTGCCTAAGCCGTCAGTGCCCGCAATTAGTTATTCTATTTCGACTTTGGTGACTTCGGCTACTAACTGGTAATTCTTCTGGTGGCAACGTAAGTGCTTTGATTAATTATTGGGCACCTTTGGGATTTACTGGTTGAAGCACTGTTTCCGGTATGAGTTTTGAACACTGGTATTGTAAGAAAAGCACAATAAACATTTGTCAACTGTTTATGCCTTTCATATTTTTGAACCCAACATGTAGTAAGTTTATTAAATCTGTGAAGGTGAAATTAGTGCCGCTGAGTACGAGACGTCTTTCGAGGGTCCAGGAGTGCCGTCGGGAAACGGTCGACACACGAAACCCACATAGGTGAAAATGTCACGAACCTCGAATGTGTAAAGGCATCTTTACGATGACACATGTTCTCATGTTTCTTTCTTATGTCTTAGAGAAGTGTCTTAGAAGTAGATTTCTGACTGAGGGACGAAAATTGGCATTGAAGACTACCTTTATCAGACAGAACCCAAAGATTTTAGATTTAGATTTTAGATTTATTTCGTCAAAAAAAGTAAAAACTGTATGTGACGTATGGGGGACAAGATCATCTGCGCAAGTTTTCTAGAGTTCCAGAATCCCTTCCCCTCATTTTAACTATAAATAATCTAGGGATGAGTAACATTTAAAGATAAATAAATAAATAAAACGCGAGATTAGCAACATTTGAAAATCTACACATTATCGTTCCCGAGTAATAGAAAACTTATTTGCAACGATAAACGAGATGCAGGTTTGATTTTTCTGCATTGCTAACAAAATAGAAAATCTCCCTTACCTCTACTACTATCATTATAAGCCAAAGGAGAGTTCAACAAAACGTGCGCATAGTGAAGCTACATTTTCGTCCAAAAGCAACACAAGGGGCCATCTCAGCATTTGCTCAATGTGTCAGGGAAACTGGACAAAAACCTGATCAAGATGGGGGTCATTGACCCTGAAGCTGATTACTGCATAGCATATTCACTGCATGTCCGGACATTAATTAATTCGTTGGTGATAACATTATGAATAAGCTTCCGGATAAGTAAAATCACAATATTTACGCAACACAGTACAAATATTTCTCCATACAATTATTTTTGAAAATTGAAATTTTAATTGGTTTAGTGTATACGGATGTGTAAAAGTATTTAGAAGATTAAACTCCTAATGTCTCCTCTTCGTAAACAAATAATAGCTGCTAAAATATTCAATCTCGCTCAGTTATGCTTTTTCTCTTATTGATGAGTTGTAGATGTTATGTTGCTCACAATTCTTCTGATATTCATGACTTTCAAATTGAAACGTGATTTCTTACCTTTGAATCAGTTCATGTTTTAGACTTTTACAATGAAATATCTAAATAAGGGGACGGTGAAATTTTCCTCCGGGCGAGGCGGCTGACACCTACACTACGCCACTGCCTTGAATATCATTCACACCCGATACACACTTTTAGAAAACTCAGAAAATGAAACCATAAACTCACTTGAAACAATAATCATGAGCTGGGGGAATACCTGTCCTTGAAGGGAGTTCTGTTCTAAATACCTTTTTTCGAAAGAATACATTTCAGAGTGCGGTTCACTTGCCCCACTTGGTTGAGTGAGGAGTACGCTACCTTCACAGACACAGGAGGGCTTCGGAGGCACAAGTGAAGAGGTGTCATACACGTGGCAAATTTCATTCATCGGAAATAGTATTCATCGGACTCATTCATCGAGGAAGAAAAGTCATTTTAGTAATGACTATTCTTCTTCGAGGAACAAGCGGTTACTATATTTGAACTTCAATAATGTAATTCAAGAATAATAAAGAATAGAAGATATGGAGAGGCTTTTCCTGCATCGAAATGCAAACTTAGAGTTCCCCAAAACGACTAACTGGAGCGACTTGCCTTGGGAACGTGACAGGACGATTGAAACAAAATATACATATAGTATGCCACTGTCATTTTCAAAGAATATTGTATTGTTGATACCGGGTCAACAAAGATCATTTCTCTCATCGGAATAAAAATCAAAATAGTACTTCTAGTTGTATTTCTCAGACGAAAGAATAACAAAAAAGCAATTACATTTGTAGCTTTTACTAAATGACTTCGAAGAAAAGGAGGCAATATAATTGTTTCCTATTAAGATAATTCCTGTATAACCAAAACATTTTATTGATATAATACATCAACAACACCGGTAAGACGACAATATTACAGTGGGTGAAATTTCGACACACGAAAGACAGAAGATACTGAAAGAAAGAAGAGATACGCAATTCGTATGGTTTCAAATGCCAATCGGTGGCCATCGTTTGTTATATTTTATTTTTTTATTGAATTGAAAAACTTAATTGTAGGTTTGAAAGGGAGAAAAAATTACATTTAAAAGACATTCTTACGTTAAGCTAAGCGAAATGACATTTCTGCATTGACACAATGGATCAAGGAAAACTACAAAATGTAACACAACACATTACTGACAATTTTTTTTTTAAATTTTTAGAAATAAATGACTCAGTGGTCAACGAATGCATTAGTATAATTATTTTAAATAAATATTTTTGATTTTGATGTTATAGCATCTCTATTATAAAAATTTTTATCCAGCAAAAAATATTATACCTCCTTTTTAATTTGTTTCGATTTTAATTTTTTAATGACATCTGGTGAGGTGTCGCAGAAATATGCACAAGTATTATATGTTGACTTTGTAACTTGCACGTCTCTATAGCAATTTCACTTAAGCTGTAGAAGAGAAAGGTGGAAAGCATATGACAAAAATGACATTTTAATGATGCTGAGAATTATTAAATGCAACGTAAATACCGATGAAATAATGATTTCACTTCGCTAATTTTTACTATTCTCTGTGAGAACATTTTTGTTAAAAAAATTGGAGACAATATTTTTATTGACAACTTAAAAATTTTAAAAATTTCTTTATACTTCTCAAAGTCTCTTGGATGATGAAACTATGCTCATGGATAGTGAAATCCGGCGCAGATCTACACGTCAGCTTGCGGGGTTTGCATTCACGTATATCCCATGAACGGGGCACCGCCCCAGCCAGGGCAAACTCCAAGCTCCCGACTGTTCTCTCGATATGTGTGGTGTGTAGTACACGAAAGTGTATATTTGTATGTAACGGGTGAAGATACGGCAAAGGAAATGGAAGGAGAGATAGTGGTCGGTTCATGTCCCGTTTTTAGGGTACTGCTCCGACATTTGACTGGTGTTGATTGAAAATCCTGTCATTGTCGATCGGAGGCATTGCAGTCCAAATCCTGTCACTGTTCGAGCCTAGGACTTTTCGATCAGAGGCTCTGCAGTGACATCGTTTAATGCCCTGGGCCACCTTAGCAGATTTAAAACATGAGAAATGATGAAATATAAGAAAATTTACATTAGTAATATTTTTTTAAATGAAAAACTCCCTGTAAAATACAAACGTTTCATGTTATGTGTTTCTCAAAATTACACATTTGGGTTAATATATCAAGGATTGCAAGTCAAATACAACATAAGGCAATGTATAGTTTTACATTTTCATAGAATTATTTAGAGACATAAGATGCGTTCTCACAAACAGACGCTTAAGAGGGAGACAACGTGCAATCAAAATTTTGAAAACACTCTTGTCAGTTAACTTTGTAGGTTTTCAATCAAACAAGGCAGGATAATTGCGAAGAAGCCAATACGATGATTGTAGATAAACATAAAAAATTAAATATAAAATATTTTCCTTCTTTATCAGTTACAGGACAATTCTTAAGTTAAAGTTAATTTTTGAATAAATAAATTCTAAATGTTATGCCTAATGTCGATATTTACGATCTTTATAGGTCCTATTTCAGTGAATGAAATTAACAAAGTAAGCCTGTTGCAAAGTTACATTCTATTCTGCAGTTCCGAATGAAAATTGACATACTGTGAACGCTCATTTTTATATCTGGTGCTTACTACTGTCCAAAGTTATTTGTTACTCCTTTAATTCGTAGAATCCAACTTTGATTCTCGGTTTATATTAAGATCTGTGATCCTTTTGCTGCAAAAGGGAGAGAAAATCGATTTATACAATCCTACTTTATATTGCAGGCAGTGATATTTATCTTCGGTTCGAAAAGGCGAAAGAAGAGAAATCGGAGGGGAAGAATGTAGGAATTTTCTGTATCTTTCCGCGACTTTACAACAGATGCTAGGTATTTCTTCCATAGAATCTATGTCCTTTATCTTCTGTACCTCCATTATTTGTTAGGGCGTTCAAAAACTACCCAGGGCCGACCTCTGAAGCCAAGAGGAAACTGTAGGCTTCGCAGAAACACAATATTGACGTGTGCTCTTAATATGAACCACAGGTTTTCGAGAAGAAGACTAATGAGAACTCTGACAACCAGAGGCGTTTCTCCTTCTACATTTATTGTCGAGAATGCGAACGTCGTTTGTGCACCGAAATTGAAGTTACAACTCTAGTAAAACCTGTAGCTAGACAATTCGCTCAGGGACAATTGAAAATTGAAGGAAGACAGAGGAATTTTTATACAGGAGAAAATAACTTTCATCATCTGGCGATTTCATTTTATGCCCTTACTAACTCTGGTAGTTCCTGGATTTCATCAGAACGTCTGTTTTTATAAGAAAGATAATAAAAGCAAGAAGTCTTGGGGTGTTCTTTGCAGTTTATTTCTCCTCAATTGTGCTCAGTAGGGTGCGACTCCCAGGGGTGGTTACAGAAATTCTGGCCCTAATCCTCGCAAGATTTGGAGTCACACTAATAATATAATGAATTTAAAAAATTATAACAGACTAAATTTAAGAGAATTGCAGTATAGAGCAAACAATATCTCAGCCGTACCGGTATGAATTATATGAAAATTATGTCGAGAGAATGATAATCATGTTGTTATCATCAATTTCTTAAAACAAATTTTCAATTTCTATTGAATTTTGAGGCAACTTTCTATTGTTATTGAACTCGTTACTTATTTGTGAATAATTTCATACTGATTATAAGGACTGCCGTTTTCGCCGTTTTCGGTATTTATCATAACAACGGAAAACTATTTTGGCAGCCAGCCACTAGAATTCTTCTCGAGATAGTGGTTCCATTGCATGTAGCGAAGTAGCACGTGTCGAAAATTCGCTACCGTTGAGATTCGAACACTAGGTCCGCCCGATGAGCGTCTCTGCAAAGGCAGCTGTAATGCTTACATTGCGCCATCGCAGCCGGTGATGCCATGAGAAAAAACGTATTGTATCAAAATGGTAAAATATGGGCAAATTCGCTAAAGCTTTACATGTATTTGTTACCTCCAAAAAGAAGCAAAACATTAGGCCCGATTAGAACTCGGAAAAGATATTGAATGGAAATGTTCAAATGAGCATTCGGAATAACAGCGTTTTCCTGACTTGTAGCTTGGGATGTACGGGCCCCGAGCGGCCCAACCGGCCCCGAAAGCGTTTCCGGGGCGCGGGTCACGCCTGAGCGCCGCCTCCATTTGCAAAGGGCCCTCTCAGCTGTCGGCCGCCAGGTGCGAACGAGAGGCCCGACGGGAATGCGCGAAATGTCGATACTCGCGCGCGCTCCTCCCTCGACCGGGCCCCGCGCCTATCGACAGACAGAGAGAGGCAGTTCGCCCGGGCGCCGCCGCGCGGCGCTGGCGTGCCGTCGAGGCACCCGAGGCACTGCATGCCAAGCGGCCGCGGCCGTGGAGCCCGTCGCGCCGGCGACCGACGCGCTCTCGGGCAAGTCGTCGGCCGGCGGAAGCGCCACTGACGCGCGCGGAGCGCACGATGGGAGCGCTACGGGATCCTGTGGGGCAGAACGCCCGCTGTCCACCTGCGTTCCCGAGAGGGCTCAGTGCAATCACAGTTGTTACCGGGAGAGGTGGCACAA